CGGAGATGGGGACCGGGACCGGGGACCCAGAACCGGGCACCGGGGCTGGTCTGAGTTTGGGGGACCGAAACCGGGACCTGGGGACCCAGAACCGGGCACCGGGGCTGCCCCGAGTCTGGGGGACCGAAACCGGGACCGGGGACCCAGAACCGGGAACCGGGGCTGGTCTGAGTTTGGGGGACCGGGATCTGGGGATCCGGGGGCTGGTCTGAGTTTGGGGGACCGAAACCGGGACCTGGGAACCCAGAACCGGGCACCGGGGCTGCCCCGAGTCTGGGGGACCAAAACCGGGACCTGGGGACCCAGAACCGGGCACCGGGACTTGGTCTGAGTCTGGGGGACGTGGGGATCCAGAACCGGGCATTGAAGCAGCCCCGAGTTTGGGGGACGGAAACCGAGACCTGGGGACCCAGAACCGGGAACCGGGGCTTGGTCTGGGTTTGGGGGACCAAAACCGGGACCAGGGACCCAGAACCGGGCACCGGAGCTGGTCTGAGTCTGGGGGACCGAAACCGGGACCTGGGGACCCAGAACCGGGAACCGGGGCTGGTCTGAGTTTGGGGGACCGAAACCGGGACCTGGGGACCCAGGACCGGAGATGGGGACCGGGACCGGGGACCCAGAACCGGGAACCGGGGCTTGGTCTGAGTTCGGGGGACCGGGATCTGGGGATCCGGGGGCTGGTCTGAGTCTGGGGGACCGAAACCGGGACCTGGGGACCCAGAACCGGAGATGGGGACCGGGACCGGAGACCCAGAACCGGGCACCGGGGCTGGTCTGAGTCTGGGGGACCGAAACCGGGACCGGGGACCCAGAACCGGGAACCGGGGCAGCCCCGGGCGAGGCTCCCGGTGCGGCCGCGGGTCCGGGGCGATCCCGGCCGCTCTTCCGCCGGTCCCCGCGGGCCGAGCCCGCCCCGGCAGCGGCCCCGGGGCGGCGGCAGCGGGCGGGCCCGGCTGAGTCACCGGCAGGAAACGGAGCGCTTGCGTCAGAAACCAGGAGCCGCCGCTCCGGTCGGGGCGGGGGAGGTACAGCTGGGAAAATCGCGTTCCCAAAGGAAAAATGGCATTGCCATGGGCAAAAATCTCATTGCCAAGGGCAAAAATGGCATTGCCAAGGGAAAAATTCTATTCCCAAGGGAAAAATGGCATTGCCAATGGCAAAATCCTATTCCCAAGAGGAAAATGGCATTCCCATGGGTAAAAATGGCATTGCCAAGGGCAAAAATGGCATTGCCAAGGGGAAAATGGCACTGCCAAGGGCAAAATCCTATTCCCGAGGGAAAAATCACATTCCCATGGGCAAAAATCCCATTGGCAGGGGCAAAAATGGCATTGCCAAGGGAAAATGGCATTGCCAAGGGAAAAATGGCATTGCCAAGGGGAAAATCCTATTCCCAAGGGTAAATATCGCATTGCCAATGGCAAAAATGGCATTCCTAAGGGCAAAATGGCGTTGCCAAGGGAAAAATGGCATTGCCAATGGCAAAATCCTATTCCCAAGAGGAAAGTGGCATTCCCATGGGGAAAAATGGCATTGCCAAGGGAAAAATGGCATTTCCAATGGCAAAATCCTATTCCCAAGGGAAATATGGCATTGCCAATGGCAAAATCCTATTCCCAAGAGGAAAATGGCATTCCCATGGGTAAAAGTGGCATTGCCAATGGCAAAAATGGCATTGCCAGGGCAAAGATGTCATTTCCAAACTCCGTCCCCGCAGCGCCATGGAAGCGGAGGCCGAGCCCGGCCCCGGCAGCTCGGCGGCAGCCGCGCCCAGCCGGCCGGGCGTCAAGGAGGAGCTGATGTGTCCCATCTGCTACGAGCCCTTCCGCGAGGCCGTGACGCTGCCCTGCGGCCACAACTTCTGCAAGGGCTGCATCAGCCGCTCCTGGGAGAACCAGCGGCAGGCGTGCCCGCTCTGCAAGGAGAGCTCCTCGCTGGAGGACCTGCGCGTCAACCGCACGCTGAAGAACCTGGTGGAGCTGATCCTGAAGGAGGAGGGAAGCCAGCAGGGCCGGGGCGCGGCGCTGTGCCCGCTGCACGGCGAGGAGCCCAAGTTCTTCTGCCTGGAGGAGAAGGAGCTGGCGTGCTTCTCCTGCCAGAACTCCAAGCAGCACGAGGGGCACAAGATGAAGACGGTGCAGGAGGCGGCGGTGGATTTTAGGGTGAGGGGAAGAGGTGGGAGGGGTGGGGATGGGGGGATGGATCCATGGGTGGATGATGGATGGATGGATGGATGGGTGGATGATGGATGATGGATGGATGATGGTTGGATGGATGATGGATGGATGATGGATGGATGGATGATAGATGATGGATGATGGATGATGGATGATGGATGGATGGATGGATGATGGATGGATGGATGGATGATGGATGGATGGATGGATGGATGGATGGATGGATGATGGATGGATGGATGATGGATGATGGATGATGGATGATGG